TCCAACATTCCTTTCTTGCATCTGAAAATACACGTTCAGCACACAGTGAGATCCCTTGGCCCATGCCTCTGTGACATCTTGTAGAGTTTTGCTGTTGCACTCCTACCAACAAAAATCATAGGATGACAATGCACAAAGGCTCTCTACTGAGAGCAAGAGAAAAAAATCCTTCGGAGAGTGCAACTGGAAGTCTAGCAAGTGAACATTATCCAATAGTGACAACAGAGAACCCAGATCAGAAGTATAATGACATTCACTTGCTGATGTGGGCATGGTATTTTGTCTCTTGTGTAACCTCATTGACTAGGACATAGGCATTTCTTTTCAGAATCAATACTTTTTGGAAGCAGGAGTTTGAATAGCAAGGCATATTGAAGGATGGGTGCATATAGTCTTTGTTGGAATGGAATATCATACAAAACACTTATTTATGATTTTCCAAAGTATCCAATTTGAATTAAAACACTGGACGCAAGTGAAAAGTTTTTTGTACAATACGAAAGTGCTTTCTGAAAAGTCATGAGAGAAATACAAATTGGGAGTCAAATGTTGCTTGGAATGTGATTTCTAAAACGAGAGAGAGTGTAGATTTGAGCGTATGAATGCTTCTGAAGCTCTAGAAGATTGTGGGCTCTGCATTGTGGATGTGGTTATGAACAGGGTAGGACATAAACTTCTGGCCTGCAGTACTGCCTGTGGTTGTGTGAAGGGAACCAGGTGAGGCAGGGAACGCAACCCTGCTCCCCATGTGTTTTAAAGTTCAGATACTTTTGTTTAGACACACCTAAAACTAGGGAATTTTTCTATTTTCCTTTCTTGTACTGACTAGAAATGTACATTCCAAAACCACAAGAGGTCTGAGTCTGGGATATAATTTTGTCTAAAATAGTAAGATGATATCTTTAGAGGTAACTTTTTGTTGGCATTACAGCCCAGCTGTCATGTCTAGGACACTATTAAATTTGGAGACAACCTTAAGATGCTTATTTAAACAAAGTCAATAGAAGTTTCCAAAGGGTAGATAAGTACCCGCAATCATCTTCACATACAGGCACTGACAGCTTCCAGAAAGACCTGTACTTTACAGACTCTTTATTGGAAAAGCCAAGGAAGGGCAAATTTTACAGTTTCAAAGTGTTGTCTGGACTATCACACTAATGCCAGCTGGCTCTCCTTTTGTACCTGGTACCAAGGCAGGGGGCTGAACATACATCTAACTTTGAATAATTTTTATTTTGAAGAAACTAATGTTACATCCAACAAGAAGCCTTAATAAATCCACCTCATATCACTGGCTTGGTTTTGTTTTCAAGTTGCTCAATTGAGTGTGCATTTTATAATACCCACATGTAAAGTTACCTTATTTAAATTTTCTAGAAGCTTATAGCTCTGTTATACAAAGAGGCCAGTATGACTGATTTCTTACTGGATGTAAATCACTAAGAAATATTTAACTTTTGGCTAGAGCATCACCCAAATATTCTTTATACCTTTTGAGCGATTTGCATTTTTGTGAGTTTAACAAAACGTGGAAATTTCTAGAGGATAGAAAATAGCTTTCTTATTCAGGTGAAATATAAAGAAAAATACCTATTTTTTTTTTTTTTT